TCCGTGGCATTATGCATGAGCACAAAGGGACCAAATGAAGATTGAAGATGTAATTTTGGTTTTGGCACTTCCTAATTCTGCATGCGTGACTGCACCCAAGCAAATGTGTCTCACAGCAGTTTATTGTATGCAAATGACTTTAAAATTTTCAGTAATATCCAGGCTTCCCTTCCCCTCCCCTGTGGAAGGATTTGCAATTAAAATCTCTGATACTTACCTGCCGTTAGGGCATCAGTGAGATTCCCTAGCCAGCCACTCAGCTGCTCATCCTCTCGAAGTGTGGGCATTTATATCCCCCGGGCACCTCCCCTTCTGCCAGTTGGGATAAGCAAGCCCTGGCCGGGAGCAGGAGCCTCCCAGCACCAGGTGCGCCCCAGCAGGACACGATCTCCACACAGCATGGGTCCTCGGTGACTGCCACCAGCAGCCCCATGACAGGGACATCAGTCACAAGTTTCTCCATGCTCTGTGGATGCCTAAGGGTGATTGAGAGTCTACAGGCTATGTTTTAATTGACTAATGGGAGAACAGACCAGTGACAAAGTGCCCAGTAACCCACTTACATGTGGGATTTTGCACCTTGTCCTGGTTCCGGCTGGGACAGAGTTAACTTTCTTCCCAGCAGCTGGGGGGGTGTGTGCTGTGTTTTGGGTTTGGTATGAGAGGAGCATTGATGGCCCATTGATGCTTTGGTTGTTGCTGGGTGATGCTTGCACCGGGCACTTTTCGGCTTCCCATGCTCTGCCAAGTGCAGGGGAAGCTTGGGGCGGGGGGGAGCATAGCCAGGTCAGTTGACCCAGCCGGCCAGTGGGGTATTCTATACCATGTGATGTCATGCTCAGTATAAAACTAGGGATGGGGGGGGGCTCTCGCGGTTTGGGACATGCTGTCGTGGGCAGTTGCATTGTGCATCTCCTGCTTTGTATATTCTGTTATTGTTGTTGTTATCATTGTTATCATTACTGTTCTACTTTGTTTTATTTCAATTATTAAACTGTTTTTATCTCAACCCTCAAGTTTTCCTACGTGCGCCCTCCCGATTCTCTCCCCCATCCTACCGGAGGCGGGTGGTGAGTGAACGGCTGCGTGGGGCTTAGGTGCTGGCTGGGGTTAAACCATGACACACCTGCAAATAGGACTTGAGCGTGAGCCCCGAAAGTGCTCTTATCACAGGCAGCACTGGGCACCCTGCCTGGCATGATGAGATTTGGTCCAGACCCCACTTGGGAGGTTTCACACTGGGCTAGGATGAGCAGTTTCCTATAAACAGGTTTCTGAAGGTCTCGGTTCCTTTCCTCGTGCTTTCGTGACTTTGCACGAGGAGCCCAGACGCCAGACAGTCCATGGGGCAGCTTGGTAGCACCCTGCAGCCTGAGGCACAGCGATGCCACCGCCCTACCACCACTGCTTTCCACCATACTGCCACCAGCCTCATTCAAAGGGTCCCGAGTTCTTTAAACCTCACATTTAAACCAAGCTTTCAAGA